GGAAGGTAATGTCAAAGGAAATAGCTGGGGATTGACCCCAGGGACCAGGAGGTGGGGCGTGGGCAGCTCGACTTGTCCGCTGACAGTTTCCTCCTTTGTCGTGTTTCTGAACAGAGCGTCTCACTTGTACAATGTCAGAAATACTCAGGACTTCATGAATTCTGGCTGTCGACTGATAGTATCATCAGTCTTCTGCTGGGGATAGCTCATCCCAAGGTAAGACTAACCACATCATCACAGAAAAATCCATGGTAGTTCTTCCAGTGACAAGTTAAATGCAGTCAGCTATGTATAACTTATTGATGTCATTCACGTCACCTAGAAACTGTTCGTGTAAAATTTTACCTTTATCTTTTAAGTCAGGGTTAGATTAGAGGGACAGACAGACAACGTTCAATCTGCTGGTTCACTCCTCAGATGGCCACCACTGCCAGGGCTGGGTCAGGCTGAAGCCAGGAGCTAAGAGCTTTATCTGGGTCTCTTACAAGGGTGGCAGGTCCCCAAGCATTCTAGCCATCTTTTGCTGCTCTTCCCAGGCCATCAGAAGAGAATTAGATTGGAAGTGGAGCAGCCAGGACACAAATGTGCCCATATGGTATGCAGGTATCACCGGCAGTGGCTTTACCTGTTACATTACAATGCCACCTCCTCTCCTCTGACTTTTTAAGCAAACGCTGATTTTTACTCAGCAGTTAAGAGGATTCCTCAGAAAGATCATGGAAAGTACAAACTTTTAAACAGACATGCATGGATTTTCAACAATTATTGAATCACAGTAAACATTGTCTAATTCCATGTTTCCATGAACTTTTTTGAAGTCCCTTCGTATTTAGTGTTTCATCTGTACTAAGCTAACAATTCTTATAGAGGAGGAAAGGTGGTAATGAACACACTGGGAACATTCCAAAAGCAGTGACAGGCAATAAATAAATGGATACAAAAGCTAAAGTATGTTTAACACTGAAATGCTAAGGACAAAAAAAGCCAGCGTGTCTCCCCGAGTTCTATTTGCACTGAGACTTTAAGTAGGAATACTTTTGCCCCCTCACCTGAAGAAGTTCAAGTTAGTGAGCTCATGGCACATGAGCTATGAAGGCACTGATAGCAGGGTGCAGAGCGGTACAGGGAAGGAAAGAGAGGGGGTATTTAGCTCTGATGGGACTATGTGTGACAAGTAGAAAACCACATGGAGGAAAAATTCCTAGAGGGTGTGGCACTTGAGTGATATGTACAACTTTCCCAGGTGACTGACTGGCCAAGGTGAAGGTGCCAATAAACATAGAAATCCTCTGCTTATAAAATGAGCTGAATAATCCTTTTTAATCTTTTTGAATCTTAGCAAAGAACAGGCAGAAAGCAGAAGAAAGGAGCAGACTTGGCCTTGACTGGAGTGGGGAGACTGGAGGAGAAGGCAGGCACGCTGACTTCATACCAGCTCTTTCCTTTCCAACAGTAAACTTGATTTGGTTGGAACTGTGGGTGATGAAGGGACTGGCTCAGAATTTTATTTTAGAAATGCCACTTAGTAGATAAATGTCACTCGGAGGGGGTGATGTGGAGGGGCAGGACTGTAGGTGGGGAGACCACTTATTCAGTACATTCTAGGCATTCAGCTCGAGTTAGGGAGTCATGTTGTTTGTTTGCTTCACTACTCTTGGTTACTTGTAATGTGCCTACATGGTTTAAATGACTCGCTAACTACCCACTGACTTGTATCCAATTAATAATGCTTTATTCAATAGTGATTATCCTCAAAATAGTGATATTTAAAATGTCACTTGTTATAGTTTATAGAGTAAGCAGAGAAAAGACCCTTCTGTGATTTTTATCCTACCCTAAATGAAAAAAAGGGGGGGGGGCATTTTGCATCACTTGAAATGCCTACATCCCTTGTCAGAGTTTGGGTTTGAGAGCTGGCTCTGCTCTCCACTCCAGTTTCCTGCTAATGCAGATGCTAGGAGGCAGCAGATGATGGTCAAGTATTTGAGTCCCTGCCACCCACCTGGGAGATTTGGATGGAGTTCTGGGATCCACGCTTTGGTTTGCCACTCTTTAGCATTTCAGTATTTGGATAATAAATCAGCAGATATGAAATCTCTCTTCATCTCTTTGTCTCTACTTTCCAATAAATAACATGAATAATTTTAAGAAAGCTGGCCGGCGCCGCGGCTCACTAGGCTAATCCTCCGCCTTGCGGCGCCAGCACACCAGGTTCTAGTCCCGGTCGGGGCGCCGGATTCTGTCCCGGTTGCCCCTCTTCCAGGCCAGCTCTCTGCTGTGGCCAGGGAGTGCAGTGGAGGATGGCCCAAGTACTTGGGCCCTGCACCCCATGGGAGACCAGGAGAAGTACCTGGCTCCTGCCATCGGATCAGCGCAGTGCACAGACCGCAGCAGCCATTGGAGGGTGAACCAACGGCAAAGGAAGACCTTTCTCTCTGTCTCTCTTTCACTGTCCACTCTGCCTGTCAAAAAAAAAAAAAAAAAAAAAAAAAAAAAAGAAAAAGAAAATAAGCTGATAAGCTACCATCAAAACTATGTTTACAAATAATCTTAGTGATTTAAGGAAGTTACAGCCATGTGACATAATATTTAAGGTTGCATTTATAATCTTATTTCTATTTTACATGCATGTGTACCTGTGCATGATCATACATGGAAAGATGTCAGCATTTAACACTTGCTACCTTTATGTAATTGAATGGTGCATGAGGTCTTCTATGCTTTGTTTTCAACTTTCTACCACTGTTTTTGCATAAACAAGATGTAGAAGGTTGCATGTATTTCAATCTTCTCAATGGTGGAAGTAATTTCAGACCCCAGAATTTCCAATTTTTTTTTATGTTATGGGAAAAGGGAATGATTAAGTTGTCAAAGTATCAAGATGGCAATTTTTGCATAGAAATTATATAATGTAACTGAATTTAAAATTTCTATATATGTACTCATTAAGACCTTCACTGTATAAGTGTTAATAATGTTTTTAAAATACATTTTTTTTATAATTTGAAAGAAAATGTAAAACTCATGAATGGATCTAGGGATGCAAAGAAAATAAAACTTCAAGATTCGAACTCAAGTGTCAATCAAGCCTTAACTTGTTTCTTTTTACTTTTTTTGTCCCTATTTCTCTTTCTGATTTTTTTTTTCATCATTTTAGGGTTATTCTCTCTTGGTTCAAACATGTATTCTTTCCACGATATAGGTTTATCAATTATTGTCCAGGAAAAATAAGACAGAAATGAAACAATCTTACAGGATTACTTATCAATCCCAGGTATGCTCATTTAGTTTACTTGCCCTTTGTGGCAAGAACTATTATTAAGGGAATGAAATGAGGAACAATGATGTTTCAGGCATACTCTGATTTGGAGAGGCAAAGACACTTTAATTGAAAATTGCAGGCCGGCACCATGGCTCACTAGGCTAATCTTCCACCTGCGGCGCCGGCACTCCGGGTTCTAGTCCCAGCTGGGGCACCGGATTCTGTCCCAGTTGCTCCTCTTTCAGGCCAGCTCTCTGCTGTGGCCCGGGAGTGCAGTGGAGGATGGCCCAAGTGCTTGGGCCTTGCACCCCATGGGAGACCAGGAAGAAACAGCTGGCTCCTGGCTTTGGATCAGCGCAGCGGGCCGGCTGTGGTGGCCATTTTGGGGGTGAACCAATGGAAAAGGAAGACCTTTCACTCTGTATCTCTGTCTAACTCTGCCTGTCAGAAAAAAAAAAAAAAAAAAAAAAAAAAAGAAAATTGTAGTAAATGCTTCGGTAGCAGTCCTGCCATCCATTCTCTTGGAGGCTGTACTTGGGAGATACAGGATACCTAGGTTCTGCACATATCTAATTGAAAATAGAGAGGCTACACAATCAAATCAGTGTCTCCTCTGTAAATTATTTGATTACATACAATGTTGAAGAATCTACTATGTTAACCTGTACCTGAACAAAGTCCTGATGTTTGAGAAAAGATTTGGGAAATGGTATCTGAAACCCTTTGATTTTATTTTACAGTTATTTGTGTTCTCAGATATCTTGATAGCAATCATCACTGGGAAAATCTTTCATTTTTCCAACTATTATTTAATAATCTAATTCTTGTTCATCCTGCCAAAAACATAAAGAGGTAGAATCATTCCCTTAATAAACAAGTGGATATACACACAATTGTTTTTACGAAAACTCAACTGAACACCAGATTCATATTGGCAAACTTATCTACCAGAAAGAAAATTATATATTTTAATTATGATTAATTTAAGTATCAAAACAAAGTGATGTTGTGACAGATATTGTCATGAATAATACAAATGTGATTGTGTTTGTTAGGAAGAACTTTCATAGTTTCTAGTAAATTCTGCTTTATATTGCCAAGTGTCTAAATTCCTGGATTGAGTTCCTGCAAAGCACAAGGTAAATTTCTTCAAAATGCAATCTGGTAAGAAACAAAACAAACAAATCATTTTTTTTTGCATTAGTTCTTCCATTAGGACTTGACAGGTGGAGTTTTGACTCATAAGTAAACTAAATAAATATGCCATTTCACAAAGGGCAGTTGGTTTGATGGTTCAGAACTTCTGATGAGTCAGGGGAAGAGAGGAGCCAGGAATGGTATAACTGGTACACACTGTAGCCTCCAACTATTCGTCAACACTGTAGAATGCCTCAATTCATAATATCAATTAGATTTTTCTGTTTTTCTGTAGTGTAAAAGTGATCTAGCAAACCAGTGTATGTGTAGATAGTGAGGCATAAGAATTGGTCATAAGCATTCATTTTTCTTAGTCAAGCCATCTATCAAATGCCACTGGACTTCTACCTTTAAATAGCCTTCAAGCAAACTTTTTTTTTATTATTATTTTTTTTTTTTATTTTTTGACAGGCAGAGTGGACAGTGAGAGAGAGAGAGACAGAGAGAAAGGTCTTCCTTTGCCGTTGGTTCACCCTCCAATGGCTGCCGTGGCCAGCGCGCTGCGGCCGGCGCACCGCGCTGATCTGATGGCAGGAGCCAGGAGCCAGGTGCTTTTCCTGGTCTCCCATGGGGTGCAGGGCCCAAGCACCTGGGCCATCCTCCACTGCACTCCCTGGCCACAGCAGAGAGCTGGCCTGGAAGAGGGGCAACCGGGACAGAATCCGGCGCCCCAACCGGGACTAGAACCCGGTGTGCCGGCGCCGTGATGCGGAGGATTAGCCTAGTGAGCCGCGGCGCCGGCCACTACCTTTAAATAGCCTGCAAGCAAACTTTGCTAATCACATTTTTCCTTAGAGGTCAAACTCAGGTAGATCAGATTATAGCTCCAGATACCTTTCTTTAGTAATTTTACACTTGATCTTAGCCCCTTCACTCCTAGATTCGTAATGTATTTTTAACACAGAATTTACTCATTTCCATAGTATAATAGTTACTAGTAATTATATAATATTGTATCTCACACCTATATGATACAATTGTCTTGTTTTAGCTTTTAACAAATATAGTTTTTCACACTAACTTTTGGGAGTCCCAAGATTTGGTTGGATATATTAGAGTTATATTTTCCTTTTGTATATTTATCTTTATTCTACCTGATTTCTTTCCATCTTTCTTGTATTATGTTACTCTACTTAGAGATGAACTTTGTTTTAGAGAAACTTAACAGTCTTCATCTTTTAGTTCCCCGATTCCTACCATAGGTATCAATGTACAGGCTAGTTTTTGTTTGTTTGATTTGTGGACTAAGAATGTATTGTCCAGTTGCCTCTTCTTCAACATAGAAACAAAAACTGTATGCTTTAATATTTTCAGTAGTATGCCTAGGATGTAATATTTACTCAATGTTTCTTTTATAAAAGTTTATCTGTTGATTTTTATTTTAAGGAGAAAAAGAGGGAAAAAGAGAGAGAGAGAGAACCTCCCGTTTTCTGGTTCACTCCCCAAATGCCAACATCTGGGACTGTACCAGGCCAAAGACAGGAACCAGGAACTCCATCTGGGCTTCCATATGGGAAGCAGTGATGCACGTACTTGAATCAACATCTGCTGCCTTCCACTGTGCACATAAAATGCTGGATCAGAAACAGAGGAAGCAGAAGGACTCCATTCTCGGGCACTCATGTAGGACTTGGGTGTACCAAGATGCCATTTAACACACTGCACGGCACCACCCACACCAGTAAATATTTGTTTGAATAATCTTATTCTCCTTTCATATGGTCTAAGTAGGTCTTTTTATTCCCCCCACTTATTTCTTTTGGTTTCCCATTTTAATGAATCTACATTTTAAAAGGTTCTGGTGCTAAATTACCTTTTGCTAATGGTTGACATTAATTTGACTGTTAGCTTCTATAACAATGCAAGGTATCATCTAACAGTTTGGGGCTGATGCTGAGGCATAGTGGATGAAGCCTCCACCTGCAAGGCTTGCATCCCATATGGGCACTGGTTGAGTCCTGGCTGCTCCACATACAATCCAGCTCTCTGCTATGGCCTAGGAAAGCAGTGGAAGATGACCCAAGTCTTTGGGCCCCTGCACCCACATGGGAGACCAGGAGGAAGCTCTTGGCTCCTGGCTTCAGATCAGCCCAGCTCTGGCTGTTCTGGCCAACTGGGGAGTGAACCAGCAGATAGAGGATTCTCTCTCTGCCTCTCTGAAATTCTGCCTTTCAAATAAAAAAAAAAAAAAAAAAACTTAAAAAATAATAAGCTAACAGTTTATCCAGCATGGAACTAGGACTTTTGTTTATATTTCTCAAGGTTCTAACTACTCAAAATATTTCATTAAAACACCCAAATCATTTCGTACTACAGCATAAAAGTCACACTGAACAATCTGTGTCCTATACTGGTTCTGTAATCTCTACTCTACCTACCCTGCCCATTGTTCAGTTAGCTTCAGTGTGGTAGGGGTGCTTCATGGCTCATCTTCTCACATACATTGTTGCCTCAGCAACTTTGCACTGGCTTTTCACACTGCCTGAAGGACACACACTTCACATGTTCCTACAGCATATACTCATCTTTGAGCATTTGCTTAGAATACACCAGCTCAGGAGAGTCACATACATTGTACTATTTAAAACTGCACATTGTTGTGGGATCAATTGGCACAGTGGTTATGTTGCTGCTGGAGATACCTGAACCCCACATCTAAGTGTCTGGTTTGAGTCCCAGCCACTCTCTTTCCCCTCCAGTTTCCTCTTAGTGAATACTCTCGGAGGAAGCAGGTGATGATGGCTCAAGTACTTCGATCCCTCCCATGTATGTGGAAGACCTAGATTGAGTTCCAAGCTCCTGGCCAAGCTCTGGACTTTGAGGTCTGTGGCAGGATTGGAAAATTGTACAAATTTTGAAAATTACTGGTTATTTGTTCTCAAATGCTGTAAGTTTCAGTTTTCTTACCCTCCAATAGGAATAAAATAATACATTCCTTGTGTGATTTTTTTGAGGTTGAACAAGGTGCTACAAATAAACCCTTAGCATAATGTTCCCTGTACAGTAATGCCCTTTACATTCCACTGCCACAAAGAGGCTCCGACTTAGAATAAAAAGATACAGTGAACTGATCCATATTGCTCCCCTTGGCATATCTTAAAAATTGAATTTGTCATCTCTAACTCAGTCAGGATTTTTCAGAGCAAAGTTATTTTGGAGCTATTTGCAAAGTACCTTTGTTACTCTGTCATGTCTATTAGTCCTTGCACTTGACAAGTTGCAGTCTAGGACAGAGGTCAGCAAACTTCTTCTGTAAAGGGGCAGATAACAAATACTGTAGACTTTGTGGACCATGGGCTCTGTCACTGCCACTCAGCACTGTTGCTGCAGCACAATGGAAGCTGGACCCAGTGGATAAATGAGTGGGAGTGGCCAGGTTCTAACCAAGTTCCACTTAAAGAAGCAGGCAGTGAGGTCTGGGCCTGCTAACTCCTGATCTAGGCTCACTGAGCCTTCCATGAAATGGTCTTGAAAGATAAAAAACAAAAAAACAAACACAAACTAAAGAATAAAGAGAGGGACAAGTGGAAGGAGAGAAAAAGAGAAGGGAAGCAAATTAAAGATTCTTTCACCATATTCTATGAAGACAATCATACTTATACTATATTTGAATTTTTTAAATCAAAACTATAGTCTTTCCTGCAATTTCTTTGAAGTATTTAAATATTTAATAATTTATTCAGATTTTCTGAAAAGTATATCAGAAGTAAAATAATTATTTTCTCAAAAATTTAATGATTTTAAGGAAAACTTAGGACATAACTTTTTTCCCTTTTTCTCATCCATCAGCATTTTGGCCACTTAAGGTACTAATTCTTGTATAGTGATGCAACCAAGATCTGTACTGATGTATGTCTGCTTATAACTAGACCCAAGCCTAGCACGTCTACCAACTCTATGTTAAGTTAAACTTACTTTACTGGGCTAAGTTTTCGCTTACTGGTATGTTACTTTCACACCCAGGTCACAGTAGGATTCGACGTATTTATCTATGTAGTCATAACTGAAGTCTCTAATATTTGGAGGCACTCATTCCCTTAATGCAAAGTATGGAATCATATTTAACTTCAAGGTTTTACACATCCATTTCCTTTAAGGTGTAGCCACTTAAAGAGTAGTTAACATTTAACTATTAAGATAATACATTGAAATGGCTCTGTAAAATAATTTAGCATTCCAAAAGTTTATTATGCCCCCAGTGTACAAGAGCCCAATCAATCACATGTCTAGGTAGACATTTTATAAGAACCACAATGATTTACAAGCATCAGGGAGCCCTGTGCATATGCCTGCATGAACTGGAGCTTCCTCACAGCCATTGCTCACCCCATCATTCTCTGCCACACCTATCTCATCATTCCAAGAAATTGGTCAATTTCCCTCTTCCCAGACTCACACTCTGAATAAATTTGAAGAGACTTAAATTAACAAAGAAACTAAATTAACTAAGAAAATTCTTTCCTGCCTCGCTATCACTGTATTTTTTTCTGCTTTATCAGAAATATGGTTACTTGATAAGTTTGTTATATACTTATATAAATGTTTTGTATCTGTCTTCCCCATAGAATTCTGTAAGAACAACCTGGCCAAAACAAGTTTTTCTATAGGGTTCAAATTAGTATTTGGAATATACCTGGTTTTACTAAGTATATGTTAATTGAGTAACTAAACATTGTACATTGTGTATGTTTTAGTGCCCTCAATTAGAGATGAGGAAGACAAGGCTCTTGAAGCACAAAGTAGCTGATTACTGACTTCTAGATTCTTGGTCCTTAAGACCTCCTACTGGATCACATGGACATCCCTCTCTGATGTAAGATGAATAAGAAATCAAGAGAAGAATATCATTATCTCCACGGTATCAGAGATCTGGAGATGTAACAAAAGCAGAGGAGGCTCACTCTCCTAGGCAGAGAAGGTATTATGGAAAGCCTGGCTTTACTCTCCAATTCATATCACTCCGTTTCCTAAGTACTACAATGCACAACAGGATTGTGATAAAAGAGGTGGGCAAACACTTAGATACGGGCTATCTTAACATGCAACAGTGTACGTAGATTTGAAAAAATGCTAATATGAAACAGATGCCACACACAAAAACAGTTGCTATATACTATATTTTCAAAGACTTTTTTTAAAAAAAGATTTATTTAAAAGGTAGAGTTAGAGAGCAAAGAAGTGGGGGGGAGGGAGAGAGATGTTCCATTCTCTGGTTCACTCCCAAAATGGCCACAATGGCCCAGGCTGAAACCAGGAGACAAGAACTTCAGGTTTGCCACATGGGTGCAGGAGCCCCAGCTGCTTGGGCCATCGTTGGCTGCCTTCCACAGGAACATTATCACGAAGCCAGATCAGAAACGGAGCAGCAGGCTCTGGAACAGGCACTTTGGTATGGAATGCTGGCACCACAGGTGGCAGTCCCTCCCACTACACCACAACTCCAGTCCCTCGAAGATTTCCAAGAAAAGAATAATTGGAGCCGATGTTTGCTGCAGCAGTTAAATTGCCAGTTTGGATGCCTATATCCCACATTAGGTGTGCAGGTTCAAGTATTAACTCTGCTCTGGATTCCAGCTTCCTAATACAGTGCTCTGTAGGTGGCAGCAAGTGATGACTCAAGTAGGGGGGCCCCAGCCACACACTGGAGACATGGATTGAATTTCCAGTGCTGGCTTGGACTTTACACCGCTCT